GTCAGTGATGCCACATCATACAGCTGTTTCGTCCTTCTAGGATTCGTCAGTGATGCTATATCATACAGCTGTTTCGTCCTTCTAGGATTCGTCAGTGATGCTACATCATACAGCTATTTCGTCCTTCTAGGATTCGTCAGTGATGCTACATCATGCAGCTGTTTCGTCCTTCTAGGATTCGTTAGTGATGCTAAAGGCCTAAATTTAGGAGCCTATGTGGCAAATGCGGAAATCCAAATTTATCGAAAGAAAAGTCAAAATCTAAACGAAGAGGTGCAGCAGCCCTTTAATTAAATAAAATTCGTAATTTTCATATATTACATAATTTTAGAACAGCGTCAGGTGCATATGTATATTGTATACATATGTATACACTGAACCGGGCTATTTAATGGTGTACTCTAGACTACGATCATACAAACTGAAATATTCCAGAAATATGTTTGGCATTTACAGGTTTTGTATCTCTCATTAATTCACACTGAAAAGAGACAACCATGAAATCATAATAAGGTATATGATTCAAGAGAAGACTCAAAATCGGATGGGCCAAATGTGTTAAAGGAATGAATACTTAAAGACTTTCAAATACATGATATCATTGTAATTTCTCTCTCAATATGTGCAATTTAAGTTCCATTTTCTATCCTCGATACTCCAGATGGTGTGATCACTTTCGCTCTCTGCATCCCTGAAGCATGTCATAGCTATTTTCTTGAATATGCGTATGTATACATGTGCGATATAATTAACTCTATGTTCACCTGCTATTCTGTTTTTGGTAGATGGAATATTCAGAGCTGGGTGTTTAAATTTCAACAAACAAAAGGTCAGCATGCCTTATTATTTCTTCACAATTTCGTATCCTCTGGTAAATATTTTGATATAAATTGCAATAGAGTGTGTACAGTCTATGTTGCCTGACCATAAAGACAGTGTAAACCAGAAATGTGATAGAAGGTGGACGGTGGTGTGTAGTAGATAGGAACTGTGTTCTTCATGAATATTACAAGAGTGCTTGAATGTACTCTTCCTACATACCAACAACACAAAATATGTAACCATATAACTGTGCTTACATCATGTATCCCTGATGTATCCCTTAGCTATAACAATATTGAAACAGACACGCTGCCAGCTGATTGCTAAGATGATGCTATATTTAGGTACAGTACGTTGACGAAAGCTGTATCATAAACATTTTTTTCTGTTCTTGAAATGATTCCAGTATATATGCGAATATAGTTTTGATGAAAAATAAAATGATAATGTTAGCATATACCTATCATCCTGTTTGATTCTTACTTACCAACGATAAAGACGGTAAGAAGGACTATGGCTAGGGACTTCATCTTTACAACAATAGGTAGTGACTGGTTTGACCGAGGTTAAAGGAAAGGAATGATATCTTATCGGTTTTTCGGGCATTGCTGTGAAGGTCAGAAGACAATGCTGTGACTACGGATAAGGAACTCTACAGCATTTAACGAGATATAGATATAGATATAACGTATTACTGGCACTCTTAGAAATTGTTTACACTGTATGACATCTAGGTTTGTTATTTAAGGTAAATAGTTTACCTACATTTACATGCTGAATGTCACCGATATGGTAGAAGACGATGGACCTTTAGAACAAATTGTCTTAATCTCCTTGTTTTTTTTTTTTTTTGTTGTTGTTTTTCAGGCGCCTCCTTTTAAATATTTGTTTGTTCATATTGTGTTAAAATGCTGGATTTTCTTGTATTTTTTACTGTAACTAAGTAATAATGCATGACGCACAAAATGACGTTCTGTCAAAGTTGTATTTTATCCTAATCGGTGTATGACGTCGTCAATGGTTTAATACAAACTATGAAGAAATTGTTTTTTTCCAGAATGGCTTTCTGAGTACTCAATACTTATCGCTGCATCATTATTAAAAATACATCTCTCGTGACACAAAGGGATGTTAGTCTTAATTACAGACTTATTAATATATAGTGTGTCAAAATAATTTCTAATACTTTTTGTGTTTTGTAGCAGTTCGTATTTCTGTTTCTCAGTGACAACTTGACCTGATAAACTCTGTTTGAGTTAAAAAATATCAGTCTTATTTATTTGTGAATAACAGTTATCTCTTCACGCAAAATTAAAAATTAGAAAATGTCCATTTTTGAATTGGTTTTACGAACTAAAAACCTCAACTAACCGCTATATGATTTTTTTTATAAATATGGCCTATGTCTTGAAAGAGCATTGTGACGAGTTTGTTTTTCATGATTAAATATGTAGTATTCCTGTATCTAATAGTTTTGCGTTTATGATATATCCAAACACTCCCGTTTCAAAGATCAAGGAACAAGTGAGAGTATTTGCTTTTAGTGATTAAAAAGATAGCAATAACGCTTTGTTAGGAATCGTGTATTTCAAATAATGGTAATATGGAGAAACTTAATACACACGTGTGCTAAAATCCACACAAGATGTCTAGAGTTATACTTCGACAAATGCATATGTGAAAAAAAACCGGTAATATTGTTGACGGTTTTTACCAAATAGTTATTTCAACTACGACGTCACAAATGTAGTCCATATGCAAATATTCTACAAAACGTAATAGGAAGTGCCCCATTCTAGCGGATACTACAACTACAGACAATAATTTTCAGTATATGATATGAAAAAAAAAAAAAATAAAATAAGACATTATGTTGAATCTAATTCATTGCTGGATTTCTAGTATCCATTAATCTATTTCAAATTTGATTTACATTCAACCTTATGATTTCTTATGTTTCTGTTTTTAAGATATTTCTAAGTCAATTACGGATTTTTTAAAAGGAATAAGGATCCATGAACCAGTGAAGAAATGGATATATATATATATTGCACATATAGAATTTTCATTTAATTTTGGAATATCATTCTGTTTAAGAGACATAAAAGACATAGACATATAAACGATTTATTTATCACCAATTATATGAATATCTTCTTTTCGTTTTTCCAATATTTATAAATATAAACATATTCAATAATAAACATGAAGACATATATACATATATAATATACAACATGTAGAGATAAATATATATATATATATATATATATATATATATATATAATATACAATGTACAACGTGTAGCTATATATATACAATATACAATGTACAATATGTGGATATATACATATATATACAATGTACAACTTGTAGCTACATGTATATATATACAACAGTTTTGGTGATATCATATTTTTAGCGATATATAAACATATCTAAATGATATAGCTAATATCACAGATATCTTTATAAATATTAAAAACACATGTACATATAAAACACTTCAAGATTTCTCCAATACATTTAGACCTGTTTCTTGTCAATAAATATTTATCTAGCATTCCAAGAATAACTGTGGTCCTTTGGAGTGGAAAGACACAAAGGGAATAGGGTCACAAATTGTGTATCACATTAAGTGCACCAGCAACTTAAATACATCAGCATAAATATAACACTGTAGTATACTTATAACAGGGACACATCTGAATAGAAATATAGGCATGCAATCAGTAATGGGACAGGAAGGAGGCAGCCAAATGCAACCATTGAATCCAGAGCAAAGACCTGGTAGAGGGTCCAGGGGGCGAAGTCCCCGGAACCTCCTGGAGTTTGAGTCAATGGCACACCAGGTTAACCCCAACTTGATGATTTATTTTAACTAGTTTTTTTTTATAAATCATTCTTGACAACTTCTTGTGTTTGCTTCAGATTCTGCACTACTTTTTCACAAGACTTGCTTGTTTTGTTTGTGTACTTTTCTGAGTTTGTTTTGATTTTTTTTTAGTCGAAAAACTTCATTTTATGATTTATATTATTTTAAGCATAAAACAGATTGGACGAAAACTTTTGTCTTTCTAACTTGTTATTGGTGTGATACTTACTGCTTATTGCTCCATTACGTCAATTTTCTGACAATTAACATATATCATTTAGTAACATAGAGAAATCTATAAGAAGATGACCAAATTTAAACATTATCTTAACAAGACATTCAATCGCCCCAAAATCAGAAACGAGTTCGGGACCAAACAAATTAGCAAAAATGCAATTATCCCGTCGCCTGACGGCAGACAGAGACATAAATACCTGAGATCAGTTATCTGCAATAAGCTAAATGACAATGACTAGTAAATCTTCAACATGGATAATTGTACTGTGGAATATCCTCTCATTCTACACACATCACTACAAAAGTATAAGCGAAAATATTAATTATAGATTATTTAACAAAAAAAAAAAAAAAAAAAAAAAAACAGTTGGTGAAACAGAGGAAGTCAATATTATATGCCTCCGCCAGGAGTCGAACTCGGGACCTCTGACGCTTCACACAGGCACTGAATGTTCTTCTTAACTTTCCGTATCCCCCTCTCTTTCCCTCTGCGTCTACGCCCTTGTATACTAGAACACCGGTATATGTAAGTAGTCAATTTGTTTGTTTTTCAATCGCTTGAATAACAATTTTGATACAATGCTATTTTCCTTTTCATGATTCATATGAAATATGTTTTATGACCTTTGGCCGATACGGACATTTAAGTTTTATTTGAGTGATGTGGCTGCAGTGCTGTTTTCATTCAATTTGATAAAAAAAGTATTTTTCTTATTTAAGAATAATATAGGAAAAAAACCTACACGGCTTTCAGAAAACTTGACGTCACTTAAAAGAATAAAACCATATAGTAAATAGTTAAAATTACCTACATTAACATGCCTAAAATGGTGTAAATGAAATATTGTACACAATATACAAAATAGAATAATCCCTTTCTGTATAAATTATAGATTATATAACCGCCAAGTTATTACAATGGAATCGTCCACCATACAGATATCAAAGTCCTAAATAGTAAAAACAATGCTGTACAGACAAAAAGGTTGCTTTACAAATAAACAACATTTTGATAAAAATAAACATATTGCAGTTTATCTATATCTACTTGATTACTATGGAGAGTCGTGTTCTACGTATGAACAAAGTTGAGTTTAATTTTTTTTTCTTTTTGCTACATCATAACAAAACAAAAAAATATAACTAAAATAAGACGTTAACTTAATTCATATTACAGAGAACTGCATTATGCTATTCATTTGACGTAATCTATAGAATGTCACACGGTCATGTCGATAACCACCCCCTCATCGCGATTCATGGTGCTGCGTTCAGCATCAGTTATAGACTCTCACTTCCTTCAATCGTCCATGGGCTGACTTAGGAATGACGTACGTTCCAGTTTATTTTCATTTAAAACTACAATATCCTCTGTTTTCTCAGACGCTACAATATGTTTCTGTTCTAGTGTAACTCGGGATGCCATTTCTTGTTGTGTGAAAAGCGACATTAACAAACCTGAGAAAAATGCCAGAAAGTGCATCATACCTGAAACAGATAAAAACCCTGCGTATCAGGACTGTAGAAATAAGACACAATGAAAAACGATGTAGTATCCTTAGGCTAGAAATTGTATTCTCGTAGTAGTAGGCAGTGTTTAGCCTTGAAGAAGTAGGTAGGTTTTGTGTACGTCGGAAAATCGACCTTAAAAGCTTTTCTTTTCTCTTTAGATGATTGTTAGATAAGTCTTATCAAAGTAAGGTTGAAGTGGCAAAATAACAAATTCATAAACCACGCTGTTTGTTAGCAATCAAAATCACGACAGGCCCTAAAAACTTCACATGAAAACACATATACACAAGTTTTGATGAAATGCTAAAAAAACAAAAACAAGTGCGATACACTTAAGCACAAGAAACCTTCAACAAGTCGATAGCATTTAAAGAAGGCCCAGAAATGAGACCCACTGAGTCCTCATTAAAATGTATAAGGGAAAATCGTTTCGTAATCCCACGTACATAAATGTCCTTTTTCACAGGTTAATCAGTACTGCTTACCGTTTCCTTGTCAACAAACAATTACAGCGTCAGCGTATCTAAGCAACCGCGAAAACATGTCCTTTATAACAGATATACTTCGTTTGACCCATTAAACGTTTATGGTCTTAAATCAAACACATCATCCAAATACAAAATCCTTCAAACACGAGATGGTTGTGGTTAAAATGCAAGTACACATATAATATTTGGCTTACTGTAGTATACTCTTTAAATCGCAGTTCACGTAATTAAAGAAACTCGTTTATCTTTTTTTTTTTTTTTTTTGTAAATTGGTATTTCTTCATGGGGCTCAATTTTCAGATATTTTTTTTATTGCTACATTTAATACTTTGTTGTAATTCCTGGACACTTGATTCCAAAGATATATAAAGCTAAATAAATCTGCTTATACTTAACAGTGCGTGGACTACATGAATTTATGGGTTGAAGCGATTCGCGAAAAATCAATGAAAATAAATATCCCACAAAATATATGAATTTACAGTATTCAGTGCATCAAAGGAGTCAAATATGAGACGTTAGACACTAGATGAACACGAGGTGTGAAATTCTTTGTACACCAATATTTATACCTTAAGAGATCTTCGAGCTTTGTAGCATAACATGTAGAAGTTGATATCTTACCTGCGTACCCAAATACATAGCTGTATCCCGTTACGTCGTTAATCAAGTACCCTGTAATGTAAGATCAATATCATTCTGTTAATTATCTCCAATTCCAAACCAATAAAACTATTTCAGTATTATTTGTTTGGCATTACGCTATACCTGTTACATATCTTATCTAAAGGGACTAAATGGTAAGGTTTCGTTATTTTTTCTCATGCGCTTGATTTCGGACATGCATTTTAATACTTAAGATTAAACTATTTACAAAATTATAACACTCTGAGAGAAATTGATAGTTTCGAACTAACGCTAGTCGACACTCGCAGTTGTGTCTACTACACATCGCTGTTTTGATTTCATCACGAGACATTTCAGAGCCTCGTTTAAACCCGCCGTTTTGATATGTTTTCTTACTATGTATAATTATGTGAGTAAACAACAATTGATATGCTAGCCACGATTCTATTATTACTTTGTAAACTGACTTCTTATTTCACGCTATACGCGTGACAGAGCGAAATTAATGAATTTGAAAAAAAAAAAACATACTCTAAAATTGCATGCGCAAAGAAATAATTACGCTAATGATATGAATAAGTGTTGGGTCTTTCCTAATTTTTTTTTCATCGTTTTGACTTTGTTGATAAAATGGTTTTGCAAATTTTGAAATATCATAATTGACAACAACTACACAACTTTTAACAGACGAAATGAATATCTAACCATTTAGTCCCTTTAAAAACAAAGCATGAAGCATTCCTCTCACATCCTGTATTACTGTGACAATATAGCGATTTCAAATCACCATATACACATACACTGAAGACGTGTATTCCCCTCAAAACTTAAATGTATTGGGGATAAATACATCGACAATGAGAGATGATGTCACATGGATCCCAACATTGACTGGAACAACTCTAATGTTGCCGGTTGAGCAAGAACCACCTGGAAACGCGGTAGCAGATGTGTTCTAAATATAGATCAGAGGTTCATAGACTGGCGCTACTACTGTGACCGCTCTTATTGTGATAATGTCTTCTCGAGAAATGGGAATGAACGTACACGGGTTCAAAAGAACAGCACGGAGCTTTCCACCAATCTTGAACGCCCCTATCCTTTTGACTTTTGTATACTTCATACACTGTAACGCCCGATTCCAACAAAAACCGCGCCTTCATACTCTGCTTATAAGAGCTTTCATAAAAAAAATACATATAAAAAACGGAATGGCAATTTATATGATTTTTAACTGTACTGACCTTATTTCGTGAACAGTACGTCTTAAATAAAAAAAGAAGTATACACAGTATGGGCCAGTCAGAGGCCTGTTAATATTAAAACAAGGAACAAATACTTATTATCGACATTGCACCAAATGAACTTCAGCAATGTGAAACTTGTACTCACCGCCGACAATAGGACCGGCCAGAAGGCCAAGTCCAGCAGCAACCATTTCAATAGAGAAGCCACTGGCCAGGTTTTCTAATCCTACTAATTCCACGGTGATTGGACTGAGCAACGTCCACGATCCTCCTGTGTATAGGCCAAACAACGAGGAGAAACAGGCCTTACCCCAGTAACTCGTTCCATAGAATTGTAAAGTCAATGTAAACACACCAATTACTCCATACGATCCGAAATACAATAACTTCCGGTCTACTCCACCATCCACTGCTGCGATTCCAACCATAACACGTGATATTATACTTCCGATCCCAATAAGTGACGTTAGAAAGGCAGCCTCCGCCATACTGGATCCGGTAGAATGATAAAAATCCGTAACATACATCGTAACGATCGATAAAGATTTACACCACAAAAATATACTTACACAAAAAATAAGAAACGACATTTTACCAAGTATCCTGAAAGCATCATATAACCGTTTACAAGATGACGTTTTACTAATTTCACGACGTCTTCTGGCCTCAGATTGGAGCGCCCGTTCTGTCCGGCCCGGTGCGATTATGGTACCAAACACACACGTCTGAAATCCCACTGCTGACAGCAAGAGGAATGTGCCCTTCAGGCTAAATTCTGATACAAGAATTTGTGTGAAAAATGGAAAGACTACCATTCCAGCCGCGAATCCTGCCACAACTATTCCCGTAGCTAAACTCCGCTGTTTTCCGTAGTAAAATCCAACTACCACGAATGAACCCGTGTATCCAAATGCTTGACCAGTACCTGTAGAGCAAAGCTTAATTCTTTGTAGGTAATCTGTCTAAAGGTGACGTGCCCAAGTTGAGGGTTGGACGGTATAGGCAATACGTAAGGAACGTTATTTCATTAGTCTAAGGACTAATGGTGACAACAATGTACAAATACTTGACATACAGTAACAGAAAAAAGTCAATGTGGATTTGCGATAAAGAAATATATAAGCACAATTACTTGCATTCTATTTTACTATTTATTGATTTTTTTTTATTTTCAATTTTGAGAACGTAGATATGATATCACTGTCATTCTATTCGTGCACTATAGAAGTAAACTCTTTATTGATTCAGATTACTGGTCAGTTTATACAGAGAGAAGTATGTATAGAAGAACTTACCCGCAATAATGCCATACGTTAGATAAAGGACGTATATGTTGTTAACAAAACTGGACACTCCGAATCCTATTAGGTTAAGAAAGGCCCCACAGATGATGCATGCCCGACAGCTGACCAAGTTGATGACCATCCCAGCTAAAGGTGCTGCAACGACGTTATCAAACTCTCGATTACAAACAATTGAGGAGGCAACGAAAATATGTAAAGATGGTAGGATAGTAGTGGTATGAAAGTGGCGAAAAAAGATGAGACAATAAAGTAGTTGCTATTTTACCCCTGTTTGTGTGATGGGATTTTCATCCCGTAAACAGCCTGGTTAATTCGAGATGTTTCCTTGTAGTAGTTGGTCATTATGTCAATGAGCAACATACGGTAGGCCCGTCGCGTGACACCCAAAGCAATTAAGGTAAAGCGTCTTTCTCGCGGACGCATCTACGTCAGCATAGACCTGTCCGTTTCTCAGCTTCCCGAGTAACACAAACCACCATTTGTAGTTAATTACGTCACATGCGATATGGTTGACAATATGAGAAGAATCTCTTCGTTACAATCATATCATTTAATATCTGTCAGTTTACAGGATATATACTGAAAGGATCATATGTATATGTCAGTAAGTAAAATAACTGTTTTCATTCGTGGCAAACGTGAAAGGAAACGATTCTCTCAGGTTTTAATTTTTATATTACTATTGTAATATAACATCTACAAATTTTATTAGATAAAACTATGGTGACATTGGCAGCATTCCTAAATAAAAAAAAACTTAAATACATTCCTTATTGTCAGTCTGTAGAATTTTTGAGAGCTGACAGATTTATAGGGTTATGGGCTTCTTCCACTCTCCGACGCCTTATTTTTTGTAGGTCAGCAGTAACCAAGCAAAATATGATAGCCAATGGGCTGGATAACAGATAAAAAACTCAGGAATGCGTAAACTGTTTAGTCTGTTTTTAAGTTGACCTCTGCAGCAAATATTCCGGAGCAAGTAAATATAATCTTACTTTCTATGCTGTGATTGTTCTGAAATTGCCCCATCTCCCCAGTACTATACTATATGTAACACCCTGCACTGACTGTTTCAAGCCGTAACCGTACTGAATTAGCAAATTAGACCGTTGCTAGTCTAAACAACCTACAACCCGTATAATGTGCACTTGACTATTAACGAAATACCCCTAGATCGTATAACATTTACCCCTTATTACGAAAATGTCTAACACCTGGTCAAAACATTTTTTACAGTTATCCTTAGTCGGATCCTTTAGCCCTTCGAGGGGCTGTCTAAATCTTACTTATCGATACCCTAACCTTTCCAGAATTATCAATATCCGTTCTACTGTTATCTCTCAATTACCCCTACCACCCACACTTCACTTCCAACCGGTTCTCTCCTAGATAGCACACTTACTCTTGACCATAATTGTCTTATAATCATCCTAGATCCACATACTTCATCTTCAAGGGTTTCCCTCTTCCTATCAGATCGTACACTCACTTCATACCCCTAAACGACCTACAACCTACTTCAATTCACTTCAGTATCTCCTTCCTCTGAAATACCAACTCTTCAACTCCATATTTCCCTCCTACCCCAAGGTCACAAACTCTGGTCCTAAGTGACCTTCCATTACCTATTGATCGTAAATCATTTTCAATGTCTCTTTTCCATTATCGACCGACTGAATCCATCTCGCCATTTCTCTCCAGACCGTAATTATTACTGATAGAATGTAGTTTTCCTTCCGTAATTCCCATAAAAGCCGTCCACACCTCTAGCCATTTCTCTTCTATATTTGTCATTGACCGCTCATTGAACAAGACACACACACTTCATAGTAGACTAAATATAGACTGTAACGGTTTATGAGGATAACCCCCAAGCCTTACCCTCAGGGCCATATTGTCCCCTCTACTCACCTCCTAGACAGAAGCAGGCAGAGAACAGTGCCCCTGTCCATGCAGTAACTGGAACAGGTTCCTGAAAGTGCTCCAGCAAAGCCACATGTATTATTCCTGTTGCCGACATCAGACTCGAACCGAAGAACATAGTTAGGAAGGCCGACACTAGCACCACAAGACGTTCGGGGATACATCGCCCAGCCTCGCACCATCTTGTCATAGTCACAGCCCTAGTCTGACCTGTGCGTATAACAAAAAAGCTTCTAACATAACACACGCTAAACGATCGTGATATGTCTACCCTACACCATAATTATAAGCATACAAAAAATATACAACAAAGAACACTTATTTTTGGCAGCTTTGGAAATATAAGCAATTAAATAAAAGGCACAACAACATAATCAGTGCATAATACTGCAAGACATTAAGATTTTTTGATAATTATTATAAAGGTTTGATGAGAAACGAGGCTGAAATCGAAATGTTTTGCTATAGGTTAAGTTGCTGATACTTTTCTCTACCTAACGCTTGATATACTTCCACTACAACATAGAACACGTGTTCCGGGCGTGCGATACAAATTCGTCAGATGACTTCCTTTGCATTTCCGAACGAGGCTAAAGGTCACTTGGTATTTACCACTCCTTTCCGTTGACTTTCTTTTTCAGCAGCGCTTAGCGAAGTTTTAGAAATGAAATGGAAATACTGATTAAAAATGGTCCGATTTCGTGTATACATTTATTGGCAAAACTTGACTGCAAGATGACAGTTAGATGATATAAATTCCAAATTTGACAACCGGACAAAAAGCACGTGAAAATAGTCTTTTCCTTTTCTTATTTAATTGCAAATGTGGTGTATATATCCAGCAAGTAATGATTCATTTTCATTTGCAGATTTTACAAAATTGTTGAAATATGTCAATGGGAAATTATTGGGTCAAATAAGGTCATAGGTCAAATCAGTGATCAATATCAATCAATGCGGTATGCTTTTCATTTGTAGACCTTACAAGCTGTGATATGTCAATAGTAATTATATGTGTCACTAAAGGTCATAGGTAAACTCAGTGTGCAATATCAATGAATATGGTATACTTTCCATTTGTACTTGTTACAGCAATTTGAAGCTATGATAAAGGTCAAAATACAGATCAGCAAAGGTCACAGGTCAAATCAGTGATCGATATCATTTAAAACGTATCATTTTCATTTGCACAATTTAAAACACTGTAAACTTATGTCAGACGAAAAACCCTTCATCCACGTTAAGTAATATGTTAATAAGTTACTGCTTTCAAACAATATTTGATACCACTGATACATCTTAATATCATTTCATAACTCGCTCAAAGTTTAAGACAGGCTGGTGAAATGCTCCTCTTCATTCAGTTAAGTTGACAATACACACAACATTGACTTGAGGACATGCATGGACAGAACAATTTCACTAACTGAATGTTATCTACAGAGTTCCCCTTGGTATGGCTGAAATCCTACCAGAATGGTTACAATTATATTAATTAAAATAAGAGCTCATTGTAATGATTCCAAATTTCATCCACTTCTTCCTCTCCGGTAAATTGGCAATAACTCAATTCCAGATGATGTTCTCTGTCTATGCCTATGTATCGATACATTAAAAGTTCATCTGTTCGGTTTTAACCTCGTAAAGTCACATAGCCTCGGATTAACCACGTGTTGGCGCATTTTTATGCTGTGTTATCTGTGACCTTTTAACTGAGGTCATCACGATAGTCTGTTTTTGGGATTGGCTCGGACCCAGTGTGTATATACTGAATTCTTACCTTAGCATTTCCTTCAAAGTAAATTCCTCTTACCCTTTTAATCACCCATAATGAGTAATAATTTATTCTAAATACAATATTGAAACAGACACTGTATAACGCCATTATCGGGACCTAATCTGGCGCTGATGTAAATGTCCCGAGAGCTATAAACACTAAACACAAGACTGCAACAGGAAACCAGTCTGAACATGCCTTGTAAATAAGTAAGGAATATTTTAATATTCACACATAAGAGTTTATAATTTCTAAAATTTTTAGAATAAAAAGTTCAACAAGAAATTAAAAAAAAAAAATTGTTTCTTTTTAAATCCTCATACTTGTGTTGAAAAAGATGTCACACGCACGCACGCACGCACGCACACACACACACACACCCCCCCCCCACCCCCCCCACCCCCCCCCCCCCCCCCCCCCCCCCCCCCCCCCCCCCCCCCCGCACACACACACATCTATATATAGGATCGGTTCATATTGTCTGTTACTTTCAATATGCCCCAACCATCTGCAATCGTCAATTTGATATTACCTAAAAGATAGCAAATACCGTAAACGTTTGCAATTCATAATTTAGAACGTGTCCCTGCTACACAACAATTTTCAATCCAAATATTCTTCTAGATAGACAACACGGTTGTCGCGTTTTTGAGCATTGTTGGTTTGTTTCTTTTTTTCTAACGCCGAAATTGATAACGGTTAGCTGATTTCTCTATTTACAGTCTTGTGCGATAGAACAGTGAGCATGATCCAATTACAAGACCATTGTGAAAATAACAATATAATTGGAAATGCCGTTCACTTCTTATCAGCCACGAACTCACCGTTTTGCATTATCAAAGCACAGTGACCTGAGGAACATTGGTATTTGAACCTATCCCGACCTCTTTACACCAATGAGAGGTATCGTTATCTGACCTGTCCCTGATCCCCATCCACACTAACACAAATAAATATATACATAAAAATATATAATCACGTAACGATAGATCTGCATTATTTTCTCGTATCCCTTTGTATTTAAGAATCGGCACGACTTAATCATAATCCAAACAGCAAAATTAACTTTGAAAGCATAAACATCTGTAGTTACACACAAGTTACAACTGAATAGATCCACTGAGGGTTTGTACTTGCATTGACATGTCTCCTATTGTACCTGTAACAGGTGAGCTTACGAGAGTGTGTACCTGTCTAGACATATCTCCTATTGTACCTGTAACAGGTGACAAGTAGACATTACGAGAGTGTGTACCTGTCTAGATATGTCTCCTTTTGTACCTGTAACAGGTGACAAGTAGACATTACGAGAGCGTGTATCTGTCTAGATATATCTCCTATTGTACCTGTAACAGGTGACAAGTAGACTTTACGAGAGTGTGTACCTGTCTAGATATATCTCCTATTGTACCTGTAACAGGTGACAAGTAGACTTTATGATAGTGTGTACCTGTCTAGATATGTCTCCTATTGTACCTGTAACACAGGTGACAAGTAGACTTTATGATAGTGTGTACCTGTCTAGATATATCTCCTATTGTACCTGTAACAGGTGACAAGTAGACTTTATGATAGTGTGTACCTGTCTAGATATATCTCCTATTGTACCTGTAACACAGATGACAAGTAGACTCTACGATAGTGTGTACCTGTCTAGATATATCTCATATTGTACCTGTAACACAGATGACAAGTAGACTCTACGATAGTGTGTACCTGTCTAGATATATCTCCTATTGTACCTGTAACACAGGTGACAAGTAGACTCTACGAGAGTGTGTACCTGTCTAGATATGTCTCCTATTGTACCTGTAACAGGGGTGACAAGTAGACTCTACGATAGTGTGTACCTGTCTAGATATATCTCCTATTGTACCTGTAACACAGATGACAAGTAGACTCTACGATAGTGTGTACCTGTCTAGATATATCTCATATTGTACCTGTAACAGGTGACAAGTAGACATTACGAGAGTGTGTATCTGTCTAGATATATCTCCTATTGTACCTGTAACACAGGTGACAAGTAGACATTACGAGAGTGTGTACCTGTCTAGATATATCTCCTATTGTACCTGTAACACAGGTGACAAGTAGACTCTACGAGAGTGTGTACCTGTCTAGATATATCTCCTATTGTACCTGTAACACAGGTGACAAGTAGACTTTAAGAGAGTGTGTACCTGTCTTGATACATTATATATGTCTCTTTTGTACTTCTAACAGTTAGACTTTACCATATTCTGTACTTTACCTGTTGTAATTAATACTACGGATGTGCAACGTCAATACTATTAGGGTCTGTCACAAGTCGATACGGTTTGAATAAAACAAAATGGCGCTCCTTCTTAACAAATCATGACGTCACAATGTAATGACGTTGAACGATTACATGTGTACTAGCTTCGTCTAGGCATGAAGAATTGGATGCTTAAATAGAAACATTAAAAAGTTTGTGTCTCCAAGGCCAAAAGTTCCTAAAGGACAGCTGTATGGGTGTTGAGAGTACAGGTCGTTCAACTGACCCCGGCTAGTAAGAATTTCCTTTTCCGGTTAAAGAACGAGAGGTTGTTGGTTCGAGCCTCAACGGAGGCAGAATGTCTTTTTCATTCTCAATGAAATATTTGTATGAATCCTCTATATACACAAAGTATTGTCAGAGACATATGGGGATGGGGTCTTTATTATTTAAAGGTAGCACACTGTGCAATCCAGTCTATATACTTGTCTTTTCATAAATAAACAATTATTGAAACACTCTGATATTTTTAAAATGATGACTTAATGTAGTAAGGGGGGAAATCGTGAATTAATTGGTTTTCTTTGGGGATCTGCGCATATATCGCATTAAAGCTTTTTTTTTTTTTTTTTTGAAATGTGAAAACATGACCCGTTATCCACAAAAAATATTTCCGTGTTGTCGGTTCCAAACGTTTAACGTCAATTATAGTGTCATATCAAGCGTGTGTCCTCATTCATTTGGATCTTTTGAATTGGATATATACCGCTTACACATACACATCCGCATGGGATATGATTAATTACTGTGAAGTGCGTGTGCAGCGATGTATGTGCAGTACATATGTATGTATATATATATATATTAGTCTCAGACGGCCGAACGCACTTGAAGTCACCAGCCTGCAGTTATTATACATTATTTACACTTCAGGTTTACATTCTCTATTTTATCTTACCAAGAAAAACTGATATTTACACTTCGGTAAACGTTAATTCTGACAACCTTTCCCGTGAAAAAGAAGTAAACTTTTATGCTGTTCCATCAGTTGTCAGGCTGTTCTGTCAGGTCCGTTCTGTGAATGAAGATTATTATGTTATTCGTGCGTAAAACGTTCAATGAATGAAGATCGCCATTTTCGTAAAGTAAAAAAACCCACAGGTAAGGCACCGGTAAACAAAACAAAAATAATAAAAAATGAAATACGCATATTTCTAAATAAGCACGTACACAGAGGGCACATCTCCAGCGAGGTTCCTCATTCAATCTAGACATATTCACAAGTGTCATGTTACAATTATTGTTTCTTTTAACGATCACTTGAAGCAGACGACACCTGGTCATAATCAAGTAACAAGCAGCTAGAGTTGTCGAAATCAAACTGGTCAACTGTATAATAAGCTAACAATTTTTACCCATATTCACTTCCAACATTGCTTTGTGTCGTACATATTCAAGGAAAGATGAGACACATTTATTAGATAGAATCTGCACTCATGATAAACCCAACCGACATTAAAGTGAAGATAATCATACACAACACTTAATAAGACTCGGCGTATCTCGCCATCAGAAACTGGTTTGCTCGTGACGTATAACCGTATGAACATCGTATATTCTCTATCCAACATTATGGGTACATTTTAGACATATGTTGTATATTTACATGTATTTTATTGTATATATAACATAAAATCACAAATCTATGCAAAGCAACTAACATATCTATCTTATCGTATCGCACTTTTTTTCAGCCAAGATACATTTATCAAAACTTCAAAATTTTGAATTAATTTCTGATTGATTGTAGGCATATCGTCATAACTTTATTGACATTGTTAATAATCCACGGGCATATACATCCATCCTCTGATTGCATTTGTCAGTTTTAATCGATAACCCCGCTAACATAAGAAAGTGTAAGGCACTGACCAATAAAACACAACAGGTAGTAATCTACCTGCGGTTTCAATCATCTATGTATTATATTGTGAATCTGAATGATATATTATTCAACCACACCTGTACATGATTCTGAAACAAGATGAGGTATTGCATGTGAAATGCTGAAGGTAAATATTACAGAAAGCTGCTTTTTGAAAACAAGATTAAAGATACCTTTCCTCAATCCTTTCCTTCCCGTTTCTGTTAACAGGTTCTCTCTGTTTTTCCACACCCCTTAATTCATCGGCGATGAATATCGATCGGTTTACCTAACATTTGCACTTACCTACGCAAGTTATAATTTAATCCCCTGTTGCCTGATACAGTCTGTACAAACGTATACACCATTGATACATGTATTATAGCTAACAATAAAGAATAGTCATGCTCATTACCGTCCGTGTTTTCATAAATCGAGACTTAATCATGCTATCTTCTGTTGGTGTTTCATATAATTTTGTTCCGCCATAGAAAACATTCAGTAATGGACGTTGAGACCCCGGATGTAATGGTTGTGTAGCAACGTGTTGGAAGAGCGAACAAGTCAACATCTTGTTCACTGAAATGAGTACAATGCACGACATATTGACGGTGTATCAATCCGCTTCATTTGAGTGTACCGGAAGTTATTCGTTACAAAAGCCGCCATTAATCTTTTTATCTGATAAACCACGAATTGATTTGTACTAGGAATTAAAAACATAGAAAAGAAACATAAAAGGAAAGATTCACATTGATATCCCCGAACATAATAATGTTGAATAAGACCAGGTGTTCCAGAGGGGTTAGCGTCTTCTGCTTCCTCGTCTACGCAAAATATACATATATTTATCCTCTACTCTGTACCCTCTACTCTGTATCCTCTCCTCTGCATCCTCTACCCTGTATCCCCTACTCTGTACACTCTACCCTGTATCCCCTACTCTGTATCCTCTACCCTGTATCCCCTACTCTGTCCACTCTACCCTGTATCCCCTACTCTGTATCCTCTACCCTGTATCTCCTACTCTGTACCTCTACCCTGTATCCCCTACTCTGTACCTCTACCCTGTATCCCCTACTCTGTACCTCTACCCTGTATCCCCTACTCTGTACCTCTACCCTGTATCCCCTACTCTGTCCACTCCACCCTGTATCCCCTATTCTGTACCTCTCTACCATGTATCCCCTGCTCTGTACCCTCTACCATGTATCCCCTTCTCTGTACCTCTACCCTGTATCCCCTACTATGCACCCTTTACCACGTATCCCCTACTCTGTACCCTCTACCATGTATCCCCTACTATGTACCCTCTACACTGTATCTCCCACTCGATTATCTACCAAGTATACCTTACCTCCTAGCCATACCCAAAAAATAGTATCTTGAACCGTTTACAGGTCACAGGAATTATTGCATTAAATTACCAGTCTTTGTTGTTGATGAGTGAAAAAGAATTTAAATGGTTTATTTCAATTTTGGACTGATTGGGTAATCGAAATTGCAGACAATTAAAGATCATTATTATTATTTCTAAAGTTAAAAAATCAAATGTCCCATAACTAAGAGCAAAATAAGCGAACATAAAGGCAACTTCTACTCGTGTTATGTGACAGTCAATTATATGCATTTCTCAGATACGTCCTAAGAACTGAAAGAGCGTATACGCGGGCCTTGTTTCATCATAACATCGACTTGAGGTCTACTTTCCAAAGTGGACTCCAAATCATATGGTATATATTTGGGTACATAAACCCCTGTTGTAACAAACGACGAATCCTGACATTGCATCATACAGGTATATGTTGTCAAATGTCATTATATACAGCATGACGGCACATGTCATCATCCAAAATTGAAAGTTGTGTGTGCAACACCTTGTGGACAAGACGATAAAGACTAATTTGTTCCTTTGATGTACATTAAACGAATCCCGAGATCGCATAACGTATATTGGAATAGCTATGAAGTTGAGTGCCACTCCTTTGTAATCTTCAAAACGAACGTTCAGGCTGTGAGTTGGCAGGATTTTTATCCTGGAACCATTAAAATTACTTCGCTTTTTCCCCTTAGATTTTGCCATGACATATTCCAGGGGTGCAGAAAGCGAGAGTGATAGTAACACCTGGAGTATCGAGGATGATGTTTACATCAATCAGAATTTACAGATATATAGCAAAGCAAATGAGAACATTTCCACAAGGAACAGAGGACCGCCATTTGTTCGTATGTTATAACATCTTGATTACCACGAATAATCATATCAGTAACTCAACATAAGGATATTTGTACTCATCTTGATACAAAATCGCTAAAATACTGAAACACGCCAGGAAGGGTCCAGAATTGTGTCAGAATCTAAAACTAAGTGTAACGTTCATATGAACTTGTTTATATATAGGAGGAAATGAAAAACGTAAAACATAAAATATGGTAGCGTATTAGTGCAGCTTTAGAACATTTATTTAATATTTTACACACATTTTTCTATAATTTTTACACTTTAATCTGTAAATTTTCACTTTAATCTGTAAAATTTGCTATGTGTGTAAAACATGAAATAAAAAAGTTTTAAAGTTTCACTACTACACTTCTGTACATAAAAGAATAGTCACTAGTAAGATATTTCAGGGAGGTATTACACTTTACCGTAACGGAGTACTAGTTTTAGTTCATATCCTTGATCTTTCTAAAAACGTGCATTCAGAGTCACCACAAGGAAAATGTTCAAAGATGGGTAAACAAGAGAGGATTTCAGTGGCCGAATAGCTATATATGTTGTGAAGTCTAGTTATCATAAATAGACATTAATCATTGAGATGACGTTAGCCATGCCTCCTCTGTCAAGAAGGAATCTTTGTTACTAATATTATCAAATAACTGATAAAGTCGGCTGCCATAATCGCTTGGTATTACAGGCCGTGTTTTCGTCAATGATGATTGTGAGGCATGAATAATTATTAAGCGGCACTCGCTGTTAGAATTAGTTGTTAGTTTATAATAAAAATGATAAACGGAAAAAAAACATAACAATATTATTTATTGAACCTATAACCCCGACTTTTGTCTTTTTAAAGTTAATCTTATTATCTACAATTGCACATTGTAGGTATAAAAATCACGTGTTATACATGTACAAATGCGAATATCAGCTCATATTTACCACTTCCACTAACGTCATTTTTGTACCCATGATAACTACAGTAATATTTAACATAGTATTGTCTGTGATGCAGACAATTACATACAATGTCCGGATTAGACGTTCTATATAACACAACCTGCAGATTAGTGGCGTTTCAATGACAACACGGTCACCTTCGACCAGCTTTCGGTTGTAATCTAATCTTATGTAGGCCCTACACTGAGGTTGAAAATAATGTGACGAGATGGTAAACAGACCATAGACCAACAATACTCAGTAAGTGTGTGTCAAGCCTCAACATGTGAACGGTAAAAGATATTGCATTTGGGTAGAGGGTAGGGGTACAAGGAAGGGGTAGAGGTCAGAGGTTAGGGAGTAGAGGGTAGAGGTCAGAGGTTGGGAATAGAGAGGGTAGAGGTAGAGGAAGGTGGTACTACCATTAAATACGTAATCGTAATACGAGCACATATTTTCACCACGTTTGTCCTCTTAGTATGTAATAGATCACGTGATACATTTGAACATGATACTCTCTAGTTCGTTATATTTACTCCCCGTGAACTAGCCAGATGTTGGACATCGTCGGAGTATCAGCGATGTTATACAAAACAAACAACTGTAATTGTATACGAGTGCATTGCTCTTTCAAGGATGACATAATCTTAAAATACTTACGAAGAACTGATACGTCACAATTGTGTTTTGTACATACCATTGATTGATCAGTATTGAAATACATCAGTGGTAGTACAAATGTTGCCTTATTCAGTCGTAGATTTACGATAAGTATGTACTGCAGATTTTTAGGACATGACTATATATGAGCTTAACATTACACGAGAGTGTTTCACTATGCTATATACAATAATGTGAATTTTGATAAAAGTTACATATATAGTGTATCACCTAACGCCAATAAGAAACTCACCCAATTGATTTTCGTCACTTTCCATTACGAACACTCCGGATTACGTGCTAACATAACATCTACGTTACACCGCGACATAATATTGTCCATCAAGCCCTCTACAGTTTAACCTATTTTTTTTAATACCCGTGTTGTGAAGTGTTTGATGTACTCTCTTTAAAATTTAATGGTTACTCAGCTGTCAGGTCAATTTTAAAGTATGCCTATCGACTTTACCATAACTGTATGTTAATAATTCATGAAAGGTTACAAAACATATCCATGCCGCCCAGGTGTGACTCAGGTGGACAAATATAGTATTGTGTCGTTTTACAAAGTCTGTTTCTGTGTAATATGGACAAAATATCAGCACCTTGAGCTCGGCTTTTGGATATGAAATTTTTTTCGTTTGTTTCACTTTTTCCGACATTCAATTTAAATGCTGTTGAAATGCTGTACTTAAGCTAATGGATGTAGTTGACCTCGGCTATAATAATGACCTAAAGTAGTGTTTTCAATATTTGTCATGGATAAAATTGCGTAATCCTAGTTAAAATAACATTTGGTTTAACTTACATCTCTGTGACTTAGAACATGCTTGAGAATATAAATAATCTTATGCAAAATGTAAGAATAATGTTAATACATGACACGATACTAATTATTTTCAAGAATATTTTTGTCAGGTTGTCAATACGTGTGTTGTACCATATCATACCATATTGTATCAGGTACAGATAGTTCTGAGAACAATCTATGGTATACAAATTGCTATAGAGAAAGGGGTCACCTGCCCGACCATCGCGCGCCTACATCCGAGCCAACAAGAGTGATTAGTATAAGTTGACATAACTTGTTTCGCAATTTTTGTAAAATAAATAAAGTTTATATTTATATTTAGAGAAAGGTAAAATTACTACAGATGTAAGTCCGATGAGAACCATAAATCTTACACAAGAAAGAGGTAACTTAAAAAAAACTTGAAAATCAATTGAAAGACAAAACAACAAACACGAAGACGATATTTGATTCGAAAAAATAACCCAAAGTAATTTTATAAATATTTTACGATACCTACAGACAAGGTGACAATGGATGAGTTTGATACACTTTTCCAGAATTTAACCGTAGACGAGTTTGGCCACGACGAAGTATTCAATACAGCTAACATAGCTGGCGACGATTATACAGAACAAGATACTCCGATAAGTAGGGAAGACGTAGGAGCAACAATTAGAAATGTAGAAAGAGACCAAGGTTGTAGTGAAGATAATGGCTTCAATGATTTTTTTTCATAGATTGTATGCATGAATTATTGTCATGCTCTACTGATTTCTTTTACAATGATTTCCTATTAGGTTTTTTTTTCTTTTTTTTTTTTATAGAATGATCCAAATACTTACA